CAGTCTAGAGGGCATTATAAATTCAAAAAAATACAAAAACTTGGAAACCTAGTTTTGTTTATGGAAGAGATCATGTGTGCCAAAACTGAGGTGATTTGGAGGTGGTCGAAAAAATGCCCGCATTCTCGGAGGGACCATTTGGTCTTAACTTAAGCCAGTTTTTGAAAAAACGTGAATTTTTCCACCACCTCCAAATCACCCAAATTTTCTTGTACATGGTCACCCACATGTGCAAAACATGTGTATGCAGTCAGTCTAGAGGGCATTATAAATTCAAAAAAATACAAAAACTTGGAAACCTAGTTTTGTTTGTGGAAGACATCATGTGTGCCAAAACTGAGGTGATTTGGAGGTGGTCGAAAAAATGCACATTTCTGATATTTTCACAGGTTACAAAATATATTATTGGACAGAATATAGACAGCACCACACAGCAACAGCACATTCCTCGAATACAATAGAAGATAGCTCTTCGAATAGAATTCATCATATTAGTCTCCGAATTCAAAAGACCGAACAAAGACAGAACATTACAAGTCTCGAGACCGCGAGTAGCGAGTTTGTCTTCACATTACAAGTCGATATCGATCATCTAAACTGCCATCACATAGAAAAGAGTTGCGGTCATCATGATGAGCATCATCGCGATGAAACTGGTCTTCATCCGGTTCCTCCAACGCTCCCTCTTCTCTCCCGCTAGATAGCGGACGTATCTAGATTCCGCCTCCGCCCTAGTGGTGTACCCTTTATAACTGTTACAGCTGAAACGGTGAACCTGTCTCCGACACTCCTCCCAGTCGTCGCAGACTCCGGGAACCTTACCCTTGTACACGACATACGACGACATCTCTATGCACAAGCCAAACAACAGACAATATATAAGCAATAAATAAGTATGCAACAAAAGGATCGGAAGAGAAAAGCAAGACATAAATAGCATCGATTACATCTAAGTTGAATGATTGTCCAAACCAAAGAGACATACAATTCATTAAAGTTTAATTACAACATGAGCCAATCAATGTATCAGAACTACACATAGCATCACTACTCTCGACTCGACTCATGGGACCGGAGCGCGGATGAAGCCGCCGTCTGTCCTGATGGTCATGAAATCGCGGGCGTTGTCAGCCTGCATTTGTAGCGTTGTGTCTATCTCACTGCACAGAACACGGAATGTTAGAAAAAATAAAGAACAATCGATGGATGCATTTTTTGCTGTTTTGGCTGATGTTGTTTTGGTGTTGTTTTCGTGCCATTTAGGATGGCTACAGTGACTTTTTGGTGCCATTTTTGATCTTTTAATATGGTTGTAGTGAGAGCAAAATATGGCTGTTATTTTTTTATTTTGTTTCAGAAACAGGACAAACCAAAGGGCCCACGTCTTCCCTCCAGATTTTTCGAGGGCCAAAGGGCAGGACGTTTGAGTTTTTGAGGCAACTCCCCACGTCTCCCCTCCACTGGCAACTCCCCACGACTCCCCTCCACTGGCAACTCCCCACGAATCCCCTCCACTGGCAACTCCC